GGGGGGGGGGGGCGTGGATGGAGGGCTGCAGCTCTACCAATAATTTGCTAATAACCATTCTTTTTTAAAATTCATGCAGATCTTTATAATTTAAATAGTATACCTTTAAAATAATGACAATTGATTAATTTTAACCAGTTAAATTATTCGTGATAAAATGCAAAGAATCATATTATCCATACTTTCCTGCAACTTCCCCAATATATAGTTAATTAAATACGCTTTCGCCCATCCAGTACAACTAAATTGCAAGCAAATTGTAAATTTCGACATACTAAAACACTGTTTTCTGACCATCAGAATTCTGTCAAAACTTTCCCAAAGTCCAGGAAATAGCATTTTAGAAACTCTAAGTAAATAAACAATTGTCTTGGGTCTTTGGCCCTCGTTTTCAACCCTCGATCTAAAAGAGATTCCTACGGCACTGCATGTTTCTGTAATATGTCTGTGCGTAAATTATGCGTCAGTTTTGTTTGTAAATTGCGTGTTCATTTTCCGGATAGCAAACACTTTTGTGGGTTCATAGGACATGAAATATACGGAATTTTTTTCGTCATCGGAAATTTTTGGCCTACTCCTCCCAACTATACATGCTAGCTATGACCCTGCCACCGCCCCCACCCCACCCCTCCTCCGTCGCCAACATTTTCGGGAAATTTTTTTTAGGTTCCCTTTTCATTCTAAAAGTGCTTCTCGAAACCAAGCCCCCCCCCCCGCCCAACTTTTTCATGCTTCCTACGCCCCTTCTCTCTTCTTTGATAATTCAGCTCCTGCAACGTCTATGTTCCTTCTGGAACAAGAAATACTCGGTTATTCGAGATAAATTGCTATAAAATCAGTTTTAAATTAGGTAAAATTAAATAATTTTTATTGCAAGGAAATTTTTTTAAAAATAAAAAAAAATAAGGAAATTTTGAAAGGCTGGAAACGGCTGGAAGGAAATTATGTTTTTTAAAATGGAAGCACTGAAGGTGATAGAAATCTATTCTGTGTCAAAACTACAGTAATTCAGTATGGCACAATGTCTATGGTTCAAATTTTTAAAACGTATCATCCGTCGTAGTATAGACATAAGGTGAAATCATCCTAAATGTAAATGAGTCACGATATTTTTGCAGACTGTATGCCTCATTTTTAATGTCAAAATACAGAGGTCAAAATATTTTTAAAGCAACATCTCTGAGTGACATCTCGGACGCAATTATTAAACACCGGGAAAAAACCCAGGCGAAGAACCGGTGGGATTTTAGTACCTTGTTACAATTGCAAAGCGAAAGTTTTGTCTATCACCAAACTATGGCCACAGCGCTCACTCAACTGACTCAAGCAACTCAGGTTCGACCACCAGAACTTAATTGCACGCTCCTAAAATTGGAGGATATTAATATCGAATTACATGAATGGTCACAACTCAAATCGACAGAGATTCTGTTAATATCAGATGACAACGCATTCATTGCTTGCTATTCACGTATGGAAAAAATTCAACGAGGTTACTTGCCAAAACTGGGAATGGTAGATTTTGGTCAATTTAGCGATGAGAGTGGTCGAAATGTGAAAGTTGCATTGATGAGACATGAAAGGGGAACGATGGAAACTCAGATGACTGTGAAAAATGCTGCTGATGTTTTGCACCCCAAAGTCACCCTTTTGGTCGGAATCTGTGAAACCATGAAACCGAAAATGGCAAAACTTGGTGATGTTGTGATTTCTGCAAAATTGGCAACTTATGATGGTATGAAATTCAGGTCAGACGGCACAGTAGAGTATCCTGGCCCTAAGCCGCATGTGAGTCGGAATATGGCAAGATTGATTCTGTCTGCGGCTGATGGTTGGAAACCACCATTAAAAGACCCAGACAGTTTTAAAGTCGAAGTTCATCGAAAAGCTTTGATGTTAAGTGGCTCGGATTCTATTGAAAATAAAAAAATACTAAATGACATAAAAAACAATTTTCCAGATGCACTTGTAATTGAAATAGGGGGAATAGGTAGGTAGAAGCCTCCTACAAGTGAGTGCATGGTTCTGCCATCTGTGTACTCCACACCAAAAAGGCTTAAAGCCAGTGAATAAATATGGTTAGAAATGTTTAACATTTTTAGCGTGAATGTGAAAGGCTCATATGCACAACTTGGCTGCTGAATACATTAGCAGGAGATATATATAAAATGATCAGGTCTTCTAATCGCACCAAGTGTTTTTTATTTTGTGCTTAAATTTTAGGTTTATATAAGGCAGCACATGATCTTAAGATGGAATGGTCCATTATAAAAGGTGTATCAGATTTGGCAGGTGGAAGTGATTTAGAAGAGGTGGCAAATCTTTGGAAGCAATTTGCTAGCGTAATGGCGACATCTGTTGTACACAATACGTTCAAATGCCCTATTGTGCTACAAGACTGGCCTCACTGCAAAGAATCAGAAGACATTCAAAGTATGTAGTCATTCTTCTATACTGGAATGAAATTGGATTTTTAAAAATAAATTTAATTAATTGTCCAAATTTATAATTTGCCTTAAGCCTAGTTTCCATTATCTGTCGTTACCTGTCTTTTGGCGTCTTTTGAGTGATCTTGAAAGACTTGTAATGACTGCGAGAAACAGAAAAACACAGTGTTACTGGGATAGAACAAATCCTATCTCAGTGACATAAAACAACAGGAAACGACACGATTCTTCCCATAGTGCTGCTTGTTCCCAATTCAATATGGCGGATACAGGCGGGGTTCACTGAACTTGTTGGGTTTTATTAACTGGTGGGGGGTACTATTCTGACGAAACGTACAATAAAAGAAAAAAGTACGAACCTGAAGAATTATTCTCTTTCGTGCAGACGAAGTTCTAGGTCTAGTCTATGGTACGCACTAAGCTCTTCTTGCTTCTGATAAATTTCTCTGACCCAGAAGCGCTGTTTTTTCCTTTTTCTTTGTTATCGCTTTATCGCAAGGAGTATAAACAAATTTTGTTGAAGAAGAAACTCCCTGTTAAGCACTGCCATTTTGTTTTTCATGCCGTTAAAACAGCCCAAAGACTGCCAGCAACACTGTTGTTTTCTGTTTCACTCAGTCGTTATCGGTCTCTATTACTCCAAGGACCCCGAAAGACAGCTAACGATCTTATGGAAACTCTGAGGCTTTGTTCATTTATTTATTTCTCCATCTTTATTTGTCCCATTTTTCGTTCCATCAATTGTCCTTTCATCCATTTATCTTTGTGCCATTCCATCCTTTATTTTTCCCCCGTTTATCCCTAGCTCCAACCAGAGATTTTACCTTTCATAATAATTCATTCCTATCCCTTCATATATTGGGACTAGCTAACAGTCGTGGGTCGTGGGTAGAATGTCGTGGGTAGAATGTCATGGGTAAAAAGTTTTCGGTTGTGGGTAAAAATTTGTTGGTTGTGGGTAAAAAGTCATGGGTAAAAAGTCATGGGTGATGGGTAAAAAGTTGTGGGTCCCGAATAAAAAGTCATTGGTCCTGAGAAAATGCCGTGGGTTCCAGGCAAAATATTTCTAGCTATTGCAGGGGGGGGGGGGCGTGGATGGAGGGCTGCAGCTCTACCAATAATTTGCTAATAACCATTCTTTTTTAAAATTCATGCAGATCTTCATAATTTAAATAGTATACCTTTAAAATAATGACAATTGATTAATTTTAACCGGTTAAATTATTCACGACAAAATGCAAAGAATCATATTATCCATACTTTCCTGCAACTTGGAACCCCAATATATAGTTAATTAAATACGCTTTCGCCCATTTGGTACAACTAAATTGCAAGCAAATTGTAAATTTCGACATACTAAAACACTGTTTTCTGACCATCAGAATTCTGTCAAAACTTTCCCAAAGTCCAGGAAATAGCATTTTAGAAACTCTAAGTAAATTAAACAATTTTCTTGGGTCTTTGGCCCTCGTTTTCAACCCTCAATCTAAAAGAGATTCCTACGGCACTGCATGCTTCTGTAATATGTCTGTGCATAAATTATACGTCAGTTTTGTTTGTAAATTGCGTCTTCATTTTCCGGATAGCAAACACTTTTGTGGGTTC